ATTATGTTAATACGTATAAGTATTTTATTAATACGAGTCTATGTATGTTTGCTATTATATATACATAGAGGTACATACAAATAATAATAACATAATTTGTATTTGTAAAATTTATATTGTTAATAACAAAAAATATAATAAAAAAAATAAATAGTAAAAATATATACCAAGGGGAGGTTTAATTGTAGGATTAAAGAAAGATTGGAAGGAAAATCGTTGAAAGATAGTGGAAACGGGATACGAAGATATATTACATGTAAGGAAGGAAGACGAGGAAGGAAATTTAAACATCATCTTGATATACAACAGAAGATACAAAAGCAAAGAGGTAGGAGAAGCCATTGCGAAGATAACGGAAAGGTTCGAAAAAGAGTATATAATAGTAGGAGGAGATTTCAACATAAAAACAGGGGAATTAGGAGGAGAAGAGAACGAGAGAGGTGTGGAGAGGAAAAGTAAAGATAAAATAATAAGCAATGGTGGAGACTAATTCATAGGTATAATACAGGAGAAAGGTTTAAACATTTTAAATGGGAAAGTAGAAGGTGACTGGGAAGGTGAATTCACCTATGTAGGAGAAAGAGGTAGCACAGTGATTGACTATGTTTTTGTAAATGAGCCGATAATGAACAAGATGTGGATTTTAAGGTAGAAGAAAGAGTGGACTCGGACCATATGCCAATCCGCGTGAGGATAAGCATGGAGCAAGAGAAAGATAGAAGATATAGAGGAAGAACAGGAGAGGTGGAGGCACAGAAGAAAAAGAAAGTTATCTGCTGGGACATCGAGGCAATAGAAAGTTTTATTGCAAATACGGAAGAAATAAGCTCAACGGAAGAGCATGAGGAAATGAGTCTAGATTTTACATGGAAGAAACTAAAAGAGCTAGTAGATAAGGCAATGATAAAAAAGGATATTAGGATCAAAACAAAAAGAATAGGATTCAAAGAATGGTGGGACAGAAGTTGCACAAAGATAAAAAGGAATACCAAGAGAAACAATAAGAAATGGAAAAGTGATAAAATAACGAGGAAAGAATACTTAGAACAGAAGAAGGAATGGAGAAGATATATGGAAAAGAAAAGAAAAGAGAAAAGAGAAAAAAAAGAGAAAACACTGAAAATGATTAGGACGGAAGCAGAAGTATGGAGGTTTATAAACAAAAGGAGAAAGAAAAGAGAAACGAGAGAACCAAATATATAGATGGAGGAATGGAGAAAGCACTTTGTGAATCTGCTAGAAGGGCAGGAGACGCGTGAGGAAAAAGAAGACAAGGGGAACGAGAAATGGGAAAAAGAGGACGAACTAAGAAAAGAGAAGAGGCAAGTGGACTACCCATCGGAAGAAGAAATAAGAAAGGTTGTGAAGAAAATGAAAATGAAAAAGGCAGCGGGAATAGATGGCATTCCAATGGAGGCCTGGAGACTAGGGGGAGAAACGGTAAAGAAGGGGTTGACTGAGAGATAATAAGGAAGGCTTGGTGCAAAGGAAAGATACCGGAAGAATGGAGAAAAAGTATAATAGTCCCCATATACAAGAGAGGTGATCACAATGTCGCGGCAAATTATAGAGGGATATCACTGCTGTGCACTGCATAT